TCCCAGGGGGTACCTGCCCGCGGTCCCCGGGGCTGCCTTCCGGGAGCCTTCCTTCTCCTTTCTCTTCGTCCTCTTCTCCTCCTCCTCCTCCTTGTCCTCTGACTGCTCCCCGCTGCCTTCCTCCTCCTCTTCCTCCTCCTCCTCTTCGTCGCTGCCGGAGCTGGAGCTGCCAGAGCTGCTGCTGCTGCTGCTCTCCTCGCTGACGGACTCGGGCTCTGCAAGGGGCACAGCTCACTCCTGCTGCTGAGTCCCCCGACATCCCCACAGCTCCCTGCTGCACCTCCACATCCTCCCACTGCATCCCCACTACACCCCTGCATCTTCCCGCTACATCCCCCCATCCTCCCACTGCATCCCACTGCATCTCCGCACCCGCTGCTGCATCCCCACTGCATCCTCCCACTGCTTCCCTGCATCCCATTGTCCTTCTGCTGCATCCCTGCACCCCAACACTGCATCTCACTGCATCTCCGGATCCTCCTACTGCATCTCCACTGCATCCCCACATCCTCCTGCTGCCTCCCTCTGCATCCTGCTGCATCCCTGCATCCTTCCACTGCATCCCTGTGTGCTTCCACTGCATCCCTGCATGCTCCCACTGCATCCCCACATCCTTCTGCTGCCTCCCTCTGCATCCTGCTCCATCCCTCATCCTTCCCTTGCATATCCCTCATCCTTCCACTGCATCCCTGCATGCTCCCACTGCAGCCCTGCATCCTCCTGCTGCATCCCTGTGTCCTCCCACTGCATCCCTGTATCCTCATGCTACATCCCTGCATCCTTCCACTGCATCCCTGCATCCTCCTGCTACATCCCCACATCCTCTTACTGCATCCCGCTGCATCCCAGCACCCTCTGCTGCCTCCCACTGCATCCTGCTGCACCTCCACATCCTCCCACTGCATCCCACTGTACCCCTGCATTCCTCCACTGCATCCCCACTACACCCCTGCATCTTCCCGCTACGTCCCCACAACCCCCCACCACATCCCTGCTTCCCCCCACTGCATCCCTGCATCCGCCTGCCGCAGCCCTCCATGTCCCCTGCCACGTCCCCACCACGATGGGATGTCCCCCCTGCAATGTCCCCTGCCCAATGCCCCACCATTTTGGCACCTGCCTGATGCTTCACTGTGGTGGCCCCTGCCTCATGCCCCACCGTGTTGTCCCTTGCCTGATGCCCCATCATGGTGGCTCCTGCCCCATGCCCCACAGTGGCCGCACCTGCCTCATGTCCCCGCCCCAGGCG